TCCACTCCGCCAAATTTTCCATCTCCCCAATTCTCAACTCCGCAATTTCTACATCCCCCAAATTTTGAAATCCCAAATTTCTAACTCCCCAATTTCTACATCCTTCAAATTTCCAGCTCCCCAATTTCTACATCCTTCAAATTTCCAAATCCCCCAAACTTCCACACCCCCAAATTTCACATCATTCCCAACAAATCCTCACATGCATTAAAATGTAAGATCCAGGTAAGAAATTCAAGTATCAAATCACTCGAAACAACTCGTGATATCGCTGTCAGTATCAGTTACCAACCCCAAGTTCAAGTAGTCCCTCGAATTTCGCCACATGTTGTAATAACAGCAATAATATTGAAGCGGTAGCATAGGGCCCCGTGCCTGGGCCGCAGTTGAACCACCGTCAACACCCCTTTTATTGGCGGCAATAATTGTTCCCTCGAATTTATTACCTATCGATTGTACCGGTGTTTCTCGTGGACAAGGCGGCGGACATTATTACCAAGATTACCAACTGATCCCTTTCCTATTCAACTCGTTGTGTTTAAATTCGTACGAGCAAACTATTCGGTAAACTCTTTTGAAATAGTGACAGCGTGTGTCCTGTGGAGGTGCTTGTCTTACCTGCAATAAAACAGAAGAGCAGAACAGTGCTCTTTGTGTTGAAAGGACATTTTATATTTTGATGTTTAACGTTGATAATTGGATTTCCCGTGAACCGGTGTTATATATATAATGCAGTATGATTGTAGTTATAAATGTTTATATAGTTTTATTTTGCTGGAAGATATTGGTGTTCTTTGAATGAAAATTTGTGATTGAAATAGTAATTATTCAATGATCAAAATGTTGATTATTTAGTTATCAAAATGCTAATAATTTTATAATCAAGATAATTCAAATTATTATTTTAGTAGATTCATTAATTAAAATAATGATCAGAATGTTAATTATTCAGTGATGAAAAAATAATCCTGTGAAAAGATGATGAAAATCATCCAATAAAAAAAATGTTGATCCAATAATCAAAATATAAATAATTCAATAAGAAAAGAAAATTAATGACGTTAACAATCCAATAATCAATTCAATGAACAAAGTAAAAATAATACAATGACCAAGATACTAATAATTTACTGATTAAATAATAAAAAATAACAATGATCCAACAAAGAAAATGTTGATAATACAATCATCAAAATGTTAACAATCTAATAATAAAAAAAATTAATGTTAACAATCCAATAATCAATTCAATGAACAAACTAAAAATAATCCAACAATCAAAATGCTAATAAACCAGTAATTAAATAATAAAAACAATAATAATCCAACATAGAAAATATCAATAATACAATCATCAAAATATTAACAATCCAATAATCAAAAAGTGCCTCAATAAACAAACCACTAATCCAACGATCAAAATGCAGGTAATTCAATAATACAAACAACAGCAATGATCAAAATGCTAATAACAAAAATGTCAGCGACAAACAAAATGTTAATGACATAATGATCAAAATGCCAAGAGAAACTAATGATCTTTTGCCACCGGTTTCATACGTATTCATTATTATTCTAGCCGAGGTGACGCAAAAGCACGAGCAAGTACATTATCTAACGAAACTTTAATGCTCGGTCATCCATCCAATGACGGTGACCTTGCACCTTATCGACACGAGCTATCGTCGCAATTTTCGCGATTCGAGGCTAGTGCAGGCTCCGCTATTTTCCACGAAAGGAAGTCTCTTTTTCCTTTTTCAACTTCGACCAATCGATGCTACCTGTAATGGCTTCGTAATTGGAGGATAAATACGTGGTTATACAGAGAAATTATCAGGGTAAAAAATTTTCAATTGTCATATAGTGAGTTAGAGATATTCTATACATTACTATTCTATTGTTCCACTGTTCGACTTATTCTAAATAAAAAATGAGTATAAGCGTTTTAGGTTGATAGAAATGTGTGTTTGTTGTGTTGATGATGGTAGAGGGGAAAATTGTTGTTGGAGAATTTGAGGATTTTGAAAGTTGGGGAATTGGGAGGTGAGAAATTTGGGAGGTGAGACCTTTGGGAAGGTGGGGATTTGGGGAAGGGTAAGTTTGGGAATTTGGGAATTTGGGAATTTGGAAGTTATAGAATTAGGGACTTTGAGAATTTGGAGGTTATGGAATTCAGGAAATTAGAATTTAGAATTTTGAGAATTTGGGAATTTTAGAATTTGGGGATTTCACAATTTGGGAACTTAGGAGTTGGGGATGTGGAATTTGGAAATTTAAGAGTTGGGAAATGTGGAATTTGGAAATTTAGGAATTGGAGAATGTGAAATTGGCGAATGTGGAATTTGGAAATTTAGGAATTGAAGAATGTGGAATTTGAAAATTTAGAAATTAAAGAATGTGGAAGTTGGGAATGTGAAATTTGAAAATTTAGAAATTGGAAAACGTGGAAGTTGGGAATGTGAAATTTGGAAATTTAAAAATTGGGGAATGTGGAACTTGAGAATTTGAAAATAAAAAATGAGGAAACGCTAAAAATTTCAAATTGTCACATATCGAGGGGGTTACAAGGATTATTCTATACATTACTATTCTATTATTCCAATACTCTTCGTTGTTCCATTATTATCCTAAATAAAAAATAAAAAAATCACAATGGAAGTGTTGAAATCATTTTGGTACATTTCGATCCAGTAAAACGTTTGTAATGTTACGGTAGCATTAACCCCCGTTTACGTAATTCCCGTTGCATCGAATGCACCGTTCCACGGGATCGAAAGAGGGAAAATATCGGGTCCGGAGAATCCCGGCTATCCTCCCGTCCGTACTAGGCGGGTGTGTTCGCGCGCGCCTGCGATCACGTATACATACGGAACCGAACGTATCCGAAGTTGCACGAGTCGCGATGCTACACCACGTTGGCATAGGTACAGATTACGCGGGGGTGGGGATAGATAGAGCGGAGAGAAAGAGAAAGGCCGTCGCCAAAGAGCGGAGGGAGGGGTTGATAGTCGCGTGGGAGGGGCGGCAACAGCAGGAGCCGAGGAGAACGATCACAATCGGAAACGGAGAACACCGAATGCAACAAGGATGACGAGAGAATGATTTAGAGTAGGGGCAGACATACTGAAAGGAGGGGGGGTACAGTATGTCCGGTTTTACCGTCTAATCATTATTTTATTTATTTTATCGTTAACACGTCCGATAGGGATTATTGAATTCCTTCCTGAATTATCAATTTCTTTTGTAATTAGATAATCGGGTTTACTCCGGTTTTTATAAATTTGCTTATCTTTTATTTTGGATGCTAGGGTTTATCATTTTTGGGAAAGCAAATATTTACACCCTGTGCAGGTTTCATCTATAGGTATACGATAGGTGTTGCACATATATTATAGAGATTTGTTAGTAGTAAATTATGTAACACTCATCTAATTATTTTTTACGATCATTTGTCTAATTGTTCGTGTAATTATCTAATCAGACAGTTTGGATGATTTCCAAAATCAAAAAGATTTTATCATTTCTATTGAAACAGTATGTACAGGGTGATTAATCAATATGTATATTATATTATACTCACATTGTCTCACCTTTTATACATTTATTTATCCAGTCATTTTAGATGATTTTCAAGATCAAAAGAATTTTATCATTTTCATTAAAAAAGCATATACAGTGTGGCCAAATAAAACACATATGTGTCGTCCTCACTTTATATGTCAACATCAAATTATTCATGTCATTGTTTATCTAATATTTACATAATTCTCCAACCAATTATTTATATCATTCTTTATCTGATTATTCGTTCAATTGTTCATCTAATTGTCTCCTTAATTGTTCACCTAATTATCATTATACATTTTGAATAATGTTCACAAGTAAAACTGATGTACTATTTTTATAAGAGCATGTGGTTAAAATGTATACAAACTCTACATAGTTTGAATGTTAATATCTAACTATCTATGTAATTGTCTTATGATTCATATAATTCTTCCTCTAATTATTTGTGTCATTAAATGTACTCGTTTTTGGTGCCTGAAATTTTCGACATTCTTTATAATTTATGATGATGAATCATAAGTGTGAGATTAAAACTTTTACTGCTAAATATTTATAGTGACTATGAAACACACTTTTGAATTTTCAAATTATTTATTTAATTGAGGTACCTTGAACTTTTGGGTGACGTTTGTAAAACATTTACTGACAGAAAAACGTAGAGGGTGGACGTACTTTTATGTGGACGTACACGTTCAATAGTATTAAATTTACTGTTAATGAGATTCGATTTTAGACAAATATTGTAACATTATTATATAACATTATAATCGATTATATAATTACAATTGATATTTCCTAAACCTTATACCCAAAAAATTTGACTTATACCCAACAAATTTCCCTCGTGCACCCCCAGTGCACCCTTCACATCGCGAAACAGAGAAAATTCAGTTCCACAATCTAAACATAAAAATTCCTATTACAAACGCTCGCAATCAGTTCTCGCTATAAACATATCCGGCTTAATCGTCATGGCGTCGAGGACCAAAAGAAGAAAATCTCTCCTAGACATTTAGCACGTTATGATCCACGGCGAAACCTGGCACACGGTGTATACTCCGGTGTAGAGACCACGTAGGAGCCCGATATGCAGCCAAGGCGGGAGAAGCGTCTAGGTGGGGATGACCGCAAGAGACTCAGCGAGAGCAAAAGAGGACAGCGAAACGGGGCTTAACAGTTGATAAAGCGAGATGGTACGAAGGGAGAGCCGTGGTACCCGGAGGAGATCCACGGGAGTACGCTCGCGCGAGCGTCACGGCAGTGGCAGAAGGGTGTAGAACAGGAAAAGGGGAAGAGGAAGCGGAGAAGAAGCGGTTGAAGGGTTTGCCGGTAGTGGGAGCAGCCACGCACCGTAGACCTCTCCAGAGAGCAGAGAGGGAGGGATGAGGACAGGTAGGAGGGATGATGAGGCTCGGGCGCAGGCTGGAGAGAAGTTGTCAGAAGCACCGTGTCACTTGTCCGTGGTGAGTCGGCCCGTTGTGACCTCTCTTGCTGGACCTTGCTTGCCGCGTTGTATTTTCCCCACCCTGTCGTCCTTTTCCCTCTCACGGGACACCGACGACCCCTTCGAGTTTTCGTCGCCTCCTTTTTTACTCGTCCGTGGTCCTTCGTCGAGCGAACACGCGTTTCGTGATCAAGTGCTGCGACGTGGTGATGGTGAGACAAGTGTAGAGCCACGGAGGCTGACTCGGAGGACTTGGCCTCTGGCTCTGAAACGACTGTTGTTACGGCTGTGTGACGTTTCGAGAGAGATTCACCGGTTCGCGAGTGACCCCATGACCCACCGTGATCAGTGCGATATCTATGGATGTTAAGTGCCCGGACCACGTAACTCCCTGCTCTATGAGTGTACGACGCTGACGAGGGAAGCATGGATTGCTCCACGAAAGGTACGTCTCTTCGAGAACTACTGCTACATGGCGCTGGGTGGTAGCTTCTGGATTTAAAGATGGGCGTGCTGGAGAACTCTGCTCGATTTAACCCTTCCATCGTTACATTTTCATATTACACCTTCAATTTTCAAATCAACTTGATAACCTTGAATCTTCAAATTCATTTACAAATTTAAAAATCATAAGCTCATATTGTTACTGCAGTTTCTCATTTGCATACGAGCACATAGTCCATCAAGGGTTGCAACCCTGTTGGAAAGGTACATCGAGTTAGATAATATTTGAGTATCTTCCCTCTTCCTCGTCCGTTAGACGCAAAAACAGATGAGAGTCAAAGAAAAAATTTTTGGATGTTTCTTTCGGTTGTTTTTAACGAGACACATTGTTTCGGAGTCTCCGCTGATGATGGCTAAGGTCGATTTATCCGAGGCCTGGGAATATTTGGGCACAGACAACGGGATACTCTGAAACGACCGAAATTCGATGGCTAATGAGTCGAGAGTTTGAACGAATCAGCAGAGCTGATTATTATCGTACGAGGCTCCGTTGTCTCGCGCGTCTTTCGATTAGCACACAAAATATCGATGCCTATCGGTATCTCCATTAACCTAGCGTAATGGGATTTCAAGACCGCGTTCTTCAGTGAAATATTTCTACGATGTTGGATTTTCGATTTGTTTTCGATACATCAATGTTTGTCTGGCGTTTGAGAATTTCCTCTTAGATAAATTCAAGATTTTTAAAAGGATCTCGGGAGTCCTTGTAGCTGATAACGTGAGCTGGAAACGAGAAAACCACAAATCCCTGAATCATCGCGATATCGTGCGTGTAGAACAGGAAAAGGGGAAGAGGAAGCGGAGAAGAAGCGGTTGAAGGGTTTGCCGGTAGTGGGAGCAGCCACGCACCGTAGACCTCTCCAGAGAGCAGAGAGGGAGGGATGAGGACAGGTAGGAGGGATGATGAGGCTCGGGCGCAGGCTGGAGAGAAGTTGTCAGAAGCACCGTGTCACTTGTCCGTGGTGAGTCGGCCCGTTGTGACCTCTCTTGCTGGACCTTGCTTGCCGCGTTGTATTTTCCCCACCCTGTCGTCCTTTTCCCTCTCACGGGACACCGACGACCCCTTCGAGTTTTCGTCGCCTCCTTTTTTACTCGTCCGTGGTCCTTCGTCGAGCGAACACGCGTTTCGTGATCAAGTGCTGCGACGTGGTGATGGTGAGACAAGTGTAGAGCCACGGAGGCTGACTCGGAGGACTTGGCCTCTGGCTCTGAAACGACTGTTGTTACGGCTGTGTGACGTTTCGAGAGAGATTCACCGGTTCGCGAGTGACCCCATGACCCACCGTGATCAGTGCGATATCTATGGATGTTAAGTGCCCGGACCACGTAACTCCCTGCTCTATGAGTGTACGACGCTGACGAGGGAAGCATGGATTGCTCCACGAAAGGTACGTCTCTTCGAGAACTACTGCTACATGGCGCTGGGTGGTAGCTTCTGGATTTAAAGATGGGCGTGCTGGAGAACTCTGCTCGATTTAACCCTTCCATCGTTACATTTTCATATTACACCTTCAATTTTCAAATCAACTTGATAACCTTGAATCTTCAAATTCATTTACAAATTTAAAAATCATAAGCTCATATTGTTACTGCAGTTTCTCATTTGCATACGAGCACATAGTCCATCAAGGGTTGCAACCCTGTTGGAAAGGTACATCGAGTTAGATAATATTTGAGTATCTTCCCTCTTCCTCGTCCGTTAGACGCAAAAACAGATGAGAGTCAAAGAAAAAATTTTTGGATGTTTCTTTCGGTTGTTTTTAACGAGACACATTGTTTCGGAGTCTCCGCTGATGATGGCTAAGGTCGATTTATCCGAGGCCTGGGAATATTTGGGCACAGACAACGGGATACTCTGAAACGACCGAAATTCGATGGCTAATGAGTCGAGAGTTTGAACGAATCAGCAGAGCTGATTATTATCGTACGAGGCTCCGTTGTCTCGCGCGTCTTTCGATTAGCACACAAAATATCGATGCCTATCGGTATCTCCATTAACCTAGCGTAATGGGATTTCAAGACCGCGTTCTTCAGTGAAATATTTCTACGATGTTGGATTTTCGATTTGTTTTCGATACATCAATGTTTGTCTGGCGTTTGAGAATTTCCTCTTAGATAAATTCAAGATTTTTAAAAGGATCTCGGGAGTCCTTGTAGCTGATAACGTGAGCTGGAAACGAGAAAACCACAAATCCCTGAATCATCGCGATATCGTGCTCTCAAGATCTAATTACTGCAAATTTTATTTAATATTGCTGAATAGGATGTTCGGAATACGAATACTCGAAAAATTGCGGCATCCGCGAAATACTGAGTCATCGAGATGACTCTTCAAACAGATAACTCTCCTCTTCCAGTTACCTACTCCAATTTTTACGTCAAGATCGATACGAATTCGATAATGTCTCTGTACTCTTGATAGACAATTTAAAGACCCAGGTTTTTGTGTGCTAAAAGTTGTATATTTAGTTTGAAATTAGCATATAATCATTTTTTATCTGAAACGTATACGTTGAGCCATGATAAAATGGGTTGGTTATTAATTATATTGGAAATTCAGCTTTTAGCACAATTCTTTAGGTCATTCTGTATCATTAGAATAACTTGAACTTCTTAATTTTTATTTTCTTTGTTTCTTAATAATTTAAAGATGTTTTATATGAACATTGATTTAACGTCTCTACTTGTTCACTAAAATAGAATTATTTCAAAGATGCTGATACATTTAATCTTTAAAAACTAACTTATCTCACGTGATGCAGTCACCGCCATTTTGCAGCCACTCTTTTATTAAATATTAATTGGACCTTCAACTGTCTTCATTCTAAACTAAATAAGAAATATAAGTAATAGTTTAGCTATTAAATCTTTAAAAAAGGTTTCGAATCGTGAAAGGATTTCAACCCTGATAAACTGATGAAACGTTCAGAGTCCAACGATCGGTTCCAACATGGCGTCCAAAGACTAAAATTCGCCACGGAACGAAAGCTTACGAGATAACGAGATTACATATCGATTTTTTCCGTTGTCGTTCGATAGACGGAAACGGAGCTTATCCTACATGTCTCGTATCATCAGTTACGAGAAGCGAAGAAAAGGCGAGCCCGGAGATTCGAGGCTGACGTGTCCGAATTCTAATCTATCGACGTGGGTACATCGAGAAAAGAGACTCGACCGTTCAACTGTAGATAAGGACCTCTTCTCTTATCTGTAAAATTATCTTTCGAGGTGTTCTCGTAAAAAGGGCCTGAGGATCGTGGAAACTTTTAAAATGTACCTTTGTCGCATTTTTAACGTTGGTCCAGTTAACTGAACTTACAATAATTTTAAGGGTTGCAATTCATTCAGGGGTTGTGATTTTAATATTTATTTTTTTCACGTGAAAGGACTACTTTTTTATTTCGTCTCATCAGAAGATACAGTCTTTGCTAATTATTATTTTTGTGTGTTTTGTAATTATTATTTTTGAGTTAGAACTCTAACTAGGGGGTGGGTTTTACATTCTAGTATTCACAATTTATTTAAATTTGAAATAATTATTCATGAGTATGTCTTTCTATGTAAGCACTGTACTTGCCACAAGGTGTTTGGATTTCTGGTACGAGTTGGCACGTAGGTTGCTACCTAGGTGTTCTAAGTACCTAGGTATTTTGGGAAACTGCATGGTGCAGGTTTTGAAAGGATACCGAGGGTTTTCGATGGAGGGTAATAAGCTAGGAAAGCACGTTTTCATGGTGAAGGGTCGGTTAAAGGCGAATCAGGGCGTGGCGTGGAAAGCCAACCGCTCCCTTTTCTCGCCCCTTGACGATCTCACCCTCTGAACGAGACGTCCTAATTAACGCAGACCACCACAAAGATGTACATTTTACTCCCTATTCTTATTTTGAGCTCCCTAAATTCATCTTTAATTGCAACACATTAAGAACTAAACGTTTATGTTTAGACTATTGAGTGGGTGGATCAACGTGGATAACAACTTTATTTATTCTGTTACAAATATGTTTATTTTATGCTAGATTTAAATATTAGTATAAGCATTTAAATATTGGTATGAACAATTGAATATATGGACCCACTAGTTTAATTTTTTTCGATTAAAAGAAACTTTGATCAAGGGGGTTGATCATCATGTTTGATACTGAATAACAATTTTATTTATTTTGCTACAAATTTATTTATTTTATGCTAGATTTAACAAACAGATATTGGTATGAACAACTAGATATAAGGACTCAATACTTAAATTTTATTAAATTGAAAAAAACTTTGATCGAGGGGGTTGATCGACAACGAAGAAAATTTTACACTTTTCGTTCAAACTCTACATAAAAATAAATCTGGCAGTTAGTACCCTTTGTAAACAATGAAATACTCAATTTTATTAAACCGAAAGACACTTTCATCAGTAACGAAGAAAATCTTAAACTTTTTATTTAAATTAAACATGACATCTCACAATCGGTTTAGAAAATTTTGTTCAACGACAATTACTTAACTTACTGAACTTTTTATTTAAACTGCAGCTAAAAATGCATCTCAACATTCTCTACAAACATTCAAATTTATCAAACTAGAAAGAGTATTTAATTAAAATCTTGCACTTTTAGTTGCAATTACAAATGCCAATAAAATGTTACGTTATTTAAAAAGAGCAACGTCAAAATGTAAGAAGCGGTTGTTAGCGTATTTAACTCGAACTGCTTATTAATTCTAAGTATCTGCTCGTGGAAAAAAGCTACAGCTAGTCCCAGGTGTTAGAATCAGTCTGTACATAAGCCGGGGGTGGATATAACCGACAATCGTGTCCGGGTATATGCGGAAACACTCGGTTGGGCCACGTATACGAAGATTTCTTTACGTGACATCCTTTACCGTGGATATAGATGGACAGTTGGCCCCGTTGGTCAATAGCAACGGTCGAGAGCAACTTAATGGGCCAAA